TGAAGGACTTAGAGATGCCTTCATCATGTAAGTTGTCAATATTTTCCATAGGTTTTTCCTTAATTTCTTGCTAAAAATTCTGTCGTAAAACCCCATCCCAAACAACATTCTTTTATAATAATATGAAAACGTGTGACTAAAACATACTATTGATGAAAAAAAAACCAATGGGGAAGGATAAACATAGTGTTTATTTCTTATAAATGTTATATAAAAGGTCCTTTGAAAAGGTGTGATTTTTGACAATTGTTTAACAGATCACATAATGAAATATTAATCTTGTCAGAGAGAACTGGATACAGCTTAAGTGGTGAGAGGAGCTTTTGATTAGCAGAGGGAATAGATTTCTATCATCAAACATTACCACTGCGATGATAGCTTTGGCGTTATATAATACCCAAATAAGATACTTCTTTGGCATTTTGAAGTGAAAGATAAGCTTGGGAGAGCATCAGTAGAACTGCACTTTTTCTTTGATCTTTCAGTTTGCAGGTGCTGTAATTTTACAGTCTGGGTCTCTGTTGCTTCCCAACCCTTGGCTTTGTACCTATTTAACATCAAGAACTCAGACATAAGGCTTGTGTTACCCCTCTTGCCCCTTTTTCTGTTGTTACCCCAGCTGAAAGATGGCATGTTTGAGACTCCCTTATTTATTATTTTTTATTTTGTCTTCATTGAATGGCTTCTAAAGAACAAAGTTGATGACACACCAATGCAATGAAGAACAGGGAAATTACTTTCCCGGAACCTAGGTAGCAGCACCAATGCTGCTGCTTTCTTTTCAAAGTGCACTTTTTATACTTCTCTGCTGCATGTATTTCCCTGCAATACAGTGTCACAGTAGAATCCAGTGGCACTGTATTGTTGCATCCACTTGCATCTGAATGATTAATGAGAACTTTACCATTTTCACGCAGGAGACTAAATTAAACCTACAAAATTTCTCCTACCTGTATGACTTGAGGCTAAACTTTCCCAAAATGTATGCATGTCCTATTCTCCTCAGAGAATGGCTTGTTCATTGACACTTTTCCTTCCACAAAGAAAATTTAATTTGATTTCTTTGTGTCCCTTTAATGAATCTGTCCAAATGAACAGCGTAGAAATCAGTGTATTTTTTATGAAGTAAATCTATAGAACACTTCATAATTTTATTGAATTTAGTATTGAATTAGTATTGCTTTTTTAGAATGCATATTTTTAAATTACAAACCTCTAAATCATCTATTTGGCAGCACATCACCCTCTGCAAATGAGATGATAAATTATTCTCACTGCCATAAGTCATTCCAATATATGTAAATGGAAAACCAGTGGCAGATGGGGGGATCTCATGGAAGACACAAGTTTAAGACGCCAAACCCGAGTTCTTCAAGTTCTGTGAGCAGGCACTGCTCCCTCTCAGCCTGTGAGTCTCTGAGGACCAGATGCCCAGCAAGCCACTTATTCTACATCCATCTTTCATTTATAAGTAACTAGTGCAATACCAAAAATAATATTCTCACTGAATTTGATGATGAAAAAAATCATTAATGTTTCTGTAAGAAATACGTACATATTTACTATATGATTTCTAGTGTGCATCCTCCTTTGCCCCTACAAGTGAAATACAAAACTCATTCTGATCGAAGTAGTTTTATATCAACAGCAAAAGAACTTGTTTTCTCATAATTGTAATTGAAATAAGCTAACTCTTAGAACTGTGACAATACTGACTGATTTTGTAGATGCATTCCAGTTGTTCAGAAGATATTTTTTCTTGACACTGTATAATCTTAGGTTTACTTTGTGTGCCCTTCTAGTCAATTCTGTGCAGAAAAACACTGTTTTGAAGATCTTTCCCATATATATGCATCAATATATACTACTTACTTTCAGGCTCAATTTTGCATAGCTCTACAAATCTTAATCTAACAGATATTTAACAAGCATTTAATAAGTGGATTGGTTTTTTTCTATGTTCAGTATTGGTTATTCTTGAGTACACATGGGGAATAGGAGCATCTGTACATCAAAATCCAAGAGTGCCGACAAAAACAGTCATGTTGGTCGCTGTAATGATGAAAAAGAGCCACTTCCTTTCAGTTTGCGTGCACATAATGAAAATGGCATTCAAATCCAAAAATTATTCATAAAATGTGCTGAATCCATATTAGTGCATTTCTACATCTGTGGATTAGATGACCATAATTCTGACTTGGTTATAGCGTATGTGAGCACCGTGAACATTATCTGTATCCCTACCCATGGAAATAAATTCACTAAGCAGGACCAAAAGGCTCACAGGCTTGGGCTCACTCTATTTACATTAGTTCTGGCCCTTAGTCTCTACCTTACCTACAATTTACTGAGAAAATGGAGATTGGCTGTTACAGAGACACTTATTCCAAAGGGTTGGCATTCCCTTTTGCCAAGGCAGCAAAATGTTGGTCTGTCTCAAACCCCACTGGCATGGGCTACCACGATGTCTGAGTGGAGGCACTGCTGCCAAACAAGAGGGGTTGAGCAACTGTGTATAAAAAAAGCAAATAGAGTGGAAAGCCCATTGCTGGTGGCTTTTCTGTTAATATGTTGCTTTGTGTCTCCCGTTTTCATTGTAGTGAAATCTCTCAGAGCGACTCCCTGGAGAGAATAGAAGCGAGTGCATTTGACAGCCTTCCCACCTTGTCTGAAATGTAAGCATCAGTTAAAAAAAGGCATCCATATCATGATTTAGGATCATCAAGGAGTAAACAGTCTGCAGAGAAGTATTCTTGGACCAAATCTGTCTCTATTACTTTGGTTGGCTTTAGCTGAGATCTATGATGAGAAACATTTCTCTCCAAAGTACCATATAAAATAGGGAGCGCTCTGCAAGGCCTGGCCTTGGAGATCTAACGCATGCAAAGACATCCATGCCCAGAAAATCCCTCTGCTTTCAGTGAGCTCGATGACAGGAGCACAGCTCTATGTCTACTTCTGCTGGCATTGTCAAGCTTTCTAAGCGGGGAAACAATTCGAGATGGCAACAGATGAGAAAAATCTTTCTTTTTGAAGATGCAGTTTTCAAAGCCCTACATTATTTAAATTCAGCTGCTTAGTATGCACAGCTCTTCTTTTGAGCACTAAAATATTACTCAAACAGAACATGTACTGATTTTAAACTTGACCTGCATAGCACTGGCATATGAGAGAGAGAGTTAAAAGCAATGACTAGGAGAATGCTCTGAAATATTTAGTGAAATTGGAAACTATAAATCTGATTCAATATCTCATTACTGCCTTTTTCGCACAGCATGACCAGTGAGTGGCTTAAAATTGTGCAACTGAGGACAAATCCATCTCTTTTTTTTTTTTTTTTTTAATCTTGTATGTGAACGTCCCTGAAGCCAGTTACTCACATAAGAAAGAGATACATATTTGTCCACCTCTGATTGGGTCCAACTTCCACTAGAATCAATGGTGGGTTTAGGGAAGGAATAAAAGATTTGACCCCTACAGTTTATGGATAGTTTGCCATATGCCTGTCTTCCAAAACCAAAAAGCTAAGGAAGACCATTAAAGAGCTTCAGGAGGCTCACAAGAAAACATGTTTGAATCTCGAATGCTCTACAAACCTCACATTGCAAGGGCTTGAAGTCTCATACTGCGCTCAAGTCAAAATTCAGTGAGTGCTCTGGGTAGGTGGGTTCAATGGCATTCTTGAACTTCCAACTTTTCTTGCAATTTCATGTGCTAAAACCTTTGAATTTTGTAAGTCATGCATAGGGAGGGAGTTGAACTATAGTTTCTGAACTTTAAGGCAAACATAGATTTACCAGATAATGTGGGTGCAGAAAGTGCTCCTTGAGAAAGAGATCTGCCTGGTTTTTGAGCGGCCACTGGCAAACAGGATTTCTCATACACTTCACTCCAACTGCCAGTTTCTGCAGATCCGTGCAGGCACCTGGTACTACGAACGACTGCTCTAAGGAAGTCCATGGTCCACTTCCACCAGTGACCAGGATATCCAAACCAGATCATCTCAGCTCAGTGAACTGCAAGAATTCAGGCACTGTCTTTTTTTGACTGCCTGACAATTATGGGCCATTTTTACTACCAACAGTGCTTCAAAATGCGCCCAGTAGCATATTTGCAGACTGTTTTCTGAGAAAGCAAATCACAAGCAAAATTCAGTACCCTTCCAAATCTATAATGATTATAGCACTGAAATATTTTTCCCTTATTACAGATTGATCCTGAACACGAAAAATCTGCTGCACATTGAGCACGGAGCATTCAGAAATCTTTCAAGGCTAAAATACTTGTAAGAAAGAGTTGTATTCCTTTGCTCTTTGCTTTATTTATTCTTTTCTCTGAAGCAGACAAATCACTTAAAGGACTGTAAGGAAGAAAGAAGCTTTTCATGCATTATAGTATACTAGAAGTACATACATCATTTACAATAGCTTTAATGTATAGTGATGTCTTTCAATAGGCAAGAAAATAAAGTAAGCCGGGGCAGGGCAGGGCAGTGATGGACAAAACAGAAGTCTGCAAAGTAGTTCTGGTAAGTGCTTATTTCTAGAATAAAGCTTTCAGACTGACAGGGCACTATATAAAAGGGGTAACTAAAATCTGTTTCTCGTGCTTAATGTAGAGAGAAAGTGCTTCTCCAGGGCACTGCTTGACAATTCTACAAAACTTAATTTTTGTAGGTCTTACTAACACATTTGAAACCTAATTAAAAATTGTCATATTTGTCACCTTTTAATGCACTGTTAAACTCAAACCTACTAGGTCAGCTTCTTGTTGCATGCACTCTGGTAATATTTTCTCCTATAAACAGGAATTATGCTTTTCTCTAGGAGCATTTGTAACACTGGAATAAGACAATTCCCAGACTTGACACAGATCTTCTCATTGGAAGCTCATTTTATTTTGTAAGTAGAGACACAACCTAGCCCAGCTGTGAGTCTTTTCCATCTTCTTCCTGGATTGCTGACAAAAATACCTCTTTTTCTTTCTTCCAAAGGGAGCTCTGTGATAACTTGCGTATGACAATTATACCACAAAATGCTTTCCAGGGGATGAACAATGAATCACTGACACTGTGAGTAAAATAATCCTAGCTCCAGTTCCTTCTGCGAGGATAACACTTCTCTTGAGAAAAGCAAGTTGACTTCATAAAAATTTTGACATTAAGCCCCATGAAATATATATCTCTATTGTGAGTTAAATTTGAAATGCTTAAGAAAGATAGAGGTCTTCTTCAAGCTGAAGAACGGAGTTTTATGCAGAAGATAATTTCACATAGGAAAGAAAATAGAACAAGGGATCTAAATCTTCATCTTTGATGCAATGTTGCTTTTAAAAATACCGTCAACAGGATATAAACTCCAAAAGCTGCACTGGAGGCCGAAGTCTCTCTTCTTCCCTCAGGGGTGCAGTTTCATGAAATAGTGTTTTCAGGGGCCAAGCAGACTGAGAGAGCTGATTTAATACTGCTGAACTTCAGCTGCACGGGATCCCTCTGAAGAAGAGGGACAGAGAGAGAAAAAAAAAATTAGTTCAAAGTGCTGATACTGCTTCTTACCCTGATTTTTTTGACTCGGCTTACATCGATTCCTATAACTCTCCACACCCAAGACTTTCCTTTTAGCCAACCATTGCTACAGCTACTTGTGAGATGGGTGGGTTTGATGCTGTGAGATGCCCCACCTGAGGAACACCGAAAGCAGCGGAAAGCCAAGGTGAGATGTCCTCTGCCAGCACAGCACAAACCGTGTATGAATTTCACAGTGCCCTTGTCCTCACAAAAACTTCCATAAAGTACTGTTGAAATAGGAAAAAAATCACAGACTGAGCCTCTTTTTGGGATGTGGCCAAAATTTGGGTCTCCCAAGGAAGGACCTGCTGAGCAATAGAGGGCAGCAGCAGGCCACCTACTTCGTGCTGTAACCACAAACACCAGTGTGGAGCCCTGTAAAGCACCTTTGTGGACCAGGCTGCAGTACACATCCAAAATGGGAGCTTTGCCTTGAGACAAGCACGTACCAAAAGCCCTGCACAAAATTCCATGAATATTTGCACCTGCAAATGAGCTGTGCACACCAGCAAGAACTGCAGTTGGTGGACCAGGCTCTTCATCAAGCTGATGTGTCAGCATGACAGTAATTTCAACACAGATTTTATGTATTGACCAATACCTTCTGAAACCAATAGAGGAAGTGGGCATAAATGTGACTGAATGTTGCTCCTACACGATGCTAAAGAGGAGCAATTGCTTAGATTAGTGCATCATTTTATCTTATGACCCTCTTTCCTCCCAACAAGTTCTCAAAATAACTTCAGCAAAATTATGATTCTGCTAATGGTGCAAGAAAATGAACATAAAAGAGATGGAGAAAGGTGCTTAAAGTTTTTACTGTAACCCTAAAGTGTATTAAGTGGGAGTGAGTCTAAGTCAGGGAAGAGCCAACAATCATTTTTTTTCTCCCATCCTTTTGTGATAGGGAGCTCATCAGAAGAAAAAAAGAATTATCTTAGCAGCGGTTTCCTAATTGTAGAGCTACATGTTAACTCCACCCCATGCAGTTAGCTGTAATTAGCTGAAGTAATTCCTCTTGTTACAGCATGGTCTGGTGAAATACAAGTAATCTATGAAGGTATAAAGTCAGCCTGCAGTAATACTTTGCACTGCAAATAGCTAAATTAGCCTTTTCAATAGTTAATGTTTCGTGTGGATGGGGAAATCGATCCTACATACTGTTGTGGCTTTTAAGGGAATCACTAATTTCAGCAATGTGCTTAGGTGCCTTCTCCTATCAAATGTAGCCAGGTGCTCCACACACTTCAGTTATTCTTGGGAGCAGGCTCCATAGGCCCACTTTGTGCTCTCCCAAAAGCAGGTGGAAAAGCAATAACAGAAATGTTGTTTAATTTATAAACTGTGCCAAGTTTTTTATTATGACTTAATAATAAATAAAAAATAATTATATACAAGTGACTATATTGAATTTGTATTGGAAACATGAACTTAATATCACAAATGCATATTGATAGACCCATAGCTTAGATCTCCTAGTGAAGAAAAAAAAGAGCTGGACTTCAGGTGTAGCAGAGCCCAGCCTTTAGGTATCTGGCCCCAGGGTGGGGAATCAAGAAAAAAGAAAGACATCAAGGGTCCCTGTGCAGTGCAGGGGACAGCAAGGTTTCCACTGCACAAATCAAGCCTGGCAGCAGCACTTTGGAGAAGCTGGTAACTCACTGACTGCTGGATGATGCACAACTTGCCCCTGCCTCTCTACAAAGCTGCCTCTTGGGCTGCTGGAAGATTTGTGTGTCCACAGAGGATCTAAAATCCAGCAGCACCCTCCAGGCTTTAGAGTTGCTTTCCACCTGACACTTCTCTAGCCCTGGATTTGCACTTGCTGATACCACAAAATCCAGATCTTCTGTCTCCAGGTTGTTGTCTGTGTGCCAGAAACAGCTTACCTGGAGTAATGTCTTATTTCTGGATCTCAGCCACAGGTAGGCACAGACAAACCCCTCAGAGGGGGGAGGATCTGAACATCAGCAGAAGTTCTCTTCAGCAGCTAAACAGGAAGGTGCTTAGGGAATTTAAACTGCAACTTTCTTAGAGTCAGCGTAAGTTGTGCTATAGTTACCTTTGTTCTTTATAAGCAAACCCTCTAAACATTAAAATGAATGCAGCATTAAGGTTTGAAACTTGCAATACATACCATAATCTTGCCTTTACCAAATCCTTTTTCCTTACACACTTTTTTTAATCCCCAGCAAATTGTATAAAAATGGATTTGAAGATATCCACAGCCATGCCTTCAATGGGACAAAGCTGAATCAACTGTGAGTATGTTTTCCCTCCTCAGTCATAAACAGTTCAGTAAATAATAATTCAAACACAGTCAAAGGTTCTTCCTTCAGCTTAACTGGCTGTGTCTTGTATTTCCCAATACTCATGAGAAAAATACATCTTTCGGTATTAATCCTGCAGCTCTTACTGCTTTGTCTGAAACACCATCCCTTAGAGTATAGCAGTTTTTATGAGAAAAGCTCATAATTTTTAATAAAATTTCATAAATTCTGAAATTTAGCAGTAACAGTGGAAAACTTGAAACCATAGCCAAAACTGAGGAACCTACAGTTTATGTCTGGAAACATCAATAGTTTTTAAATCCCTCTCACATGCTCTGGGACTAGCCTCTTGGTTTGGGCAAAACTTTTGCTGCATTTTTGTACACTGCCACCACAATGAAAGAACCAGCCTGGTCGTCCCTACTTTAAGTGAGGAAAATTTGGAATTTATCAGCTTTAACTGTAGATGATAACAATCTGATGGCATCAGCAGAGGGAGAGGTCACATGGGAATTACAAGTACTCCCCAGCCAGGTATTGCAAAAACCACCTGTGTGATGGGAGAAGGAATTGAAATAGGTGTGAGAAGGAAACGAAAAAAGGGATATTTTAAAAAACAGATGTAAAGAGAGTTCATGCTTGAATCCACAGAATTCTGAAGGACAATAAGAACCTCAGGCGGATACACAACGATGCTTTGAGAGGGGCCACAGGGCCAGATGTCCTGTAAGTATCCACTCTGTTACCTGAGTGTCCCATGGGAACTGTGCTGTGCCACACGGGCTGTGTCATCACAACAAACACAAGCTTTGAGTCTGGAAAGAGATTTGATCTCTTACCCTCTGTTTATGAAGTGAAAACATGTCAATAAGATGCCATGAAATTACAGGGTAGTGAAAGGCTCAGTTTGCACTGTGACAGACACCTATCAGCCAGTTCTAGTGTTGGGATTGACCTCCACGTCTTAGATATTTTGGGCTTTGCTTTATTTGTGTCAGATCCTCGTGATCCTTTTCCTGTGTCTTATATTCTAACATTGCAAGCTAACTTGTTCTTTGGTAGCATGGATATTTTTTACAATACATTATTTTAGAATTTAGTTATAAAAGTGAACTAGCTGATTGCATGCTATAAGGTTGTGCTGAATAAAACACATTATTATCATCTTCATGATTTATTAATCAAGTACTTATTGGAGGGCTGCACTGGCTGTAACTCCATGTAGTAAAACACAGCATGTTGTTCTGTAAATAGCACTCTGTGCTGCACGTGCCTTTTTTGTTCCTTTCATTGGTACTTTACGGTACACAGCATTACTAATATAATTTTCACAACTGTAGCCTTTTTTTCCCTTGTTTAATGGCCTGACTCTGAAAATCCTTAGTCCTGTTGATGGCCTTTCCTCACACAAAGAGCCCCTCTGAAGTTACTCTAAGCTAAGCTGCTAAAGTTTGTGTTGGTGAGAATGATGGAATCTTTTGGGGCTTTAATTGGTAGCTTTAATTAAAACACCTAGAGCAGCCCTTCAGAGCCAAGCAGAGAGCCAAGAGGGTGTCCTACCTGTTAGCTGGCTGGAGAGTCACATTTTCCCGCTTTCTTCTCTCCCTGTCTGGCTTAAAGAGCCATCCCTCACTCTGTGCACAGTGAATTTCAAGAGAGAGGTCAGGGCACAGCACCTGGAGTGGTGGGCTTCAGTTTTTCCAGGACAAAGTGAGCTCCTTGCCTCGCTGGGGGCTCCTGAGCCACAGGCATACTCTTACCCCACTGCTCTGTAGTTTCACCGACTGTGTTTCTGAGCTGGGTATCAGGTGCTGAAGCGGCTTTGTAGATTTAGACCTTTGTGAAAAGCCGAGTTGCTGTTTCCTACTGTCCTTTGGTGCTTTGGTGGCATTTTTATCGGTGTGAAAAGAAAAGAGAATGCTCTCTTTGTTCCACAGGGATATTTCTTCAACAGCGCTGGAGTCCCTGCCTAGTTACGGGCTTGAGGCCATTCAAGTCTTAAATGCAACGTCATCTTACTCGTTAAAGAGACTGCCACCACTGGATAAATTCAGCAGTCTCCTAGAAGCTGTTCTAACATATCCCAGCCACTGCTGTGCTTTTCGAAATCTGAGGACAAAAAAGTAAGTCCGAATAGCACATTATTGTACTGCGGTACTTCAGAAGCTCCAAAATGCCAATTCTTCTTTATTTAGCTCACAAGGTTTGATTATCTTTATTCCAGTAGCAGCAAAGCCGTGGTGTGTAGCAAGGTCTTGCATGAAACAACAGATCTCTGCTAAAGCCAGGAAAATGATGTCCATTTATTTTAGAGCAGAAGTGGATCCCATCCAGTGTCCTGGATCTGCCAGCAGGAACATTATTCTAAGTTTGCTTAAAGCTTAAATATTTTTCTTGGTATCTCAATTAAAAAGCCTACTGGCATGCAGAAGGTAGATCTTCATCAACAGTGTGTTGCCTTAAAAAAAAAAAAAAGAAACCCTGTAGCCTTTAGCTATGTAGCCTAATTAATACAGGTGATATGATGACATAGTAGAAAAGGCAGGCTTTCAATTACCCACCAAAATTAGGGCCTGACACAAGTCTACAGAAAGATATTACTTGGTTTAGTTCAAATCATTTCAAATATTAGACAGTATAGTTTTCCCCACAATTGGAAATCATGACACAGAGAGAGCTTTGCATCAGCTAATTTGAAACAGCCAATCTGAGACAACTGGAGCTAATTTTTCAGCATTTATATTTCAAAGAAACCAACCCTCTGTTGACTTTAGGCAGCCAAAGCAACCCCAAATCAATTTAGTTTGAGCTGTGAGGATGCCTTATTTCTCATCTGTCTCAAATGAAGGCTACAGAAAAAACATACTGAGCATTCAGTTGTGAGCAGCCTGATCTGTGTCACTTGCATGCCTTCACTTCAGGACTGTCTTGCAAGAGCAGAGTACAATACAATTCTTTAGGCTAAAATTAGGGGTGATGCTATGCTTATTCTGCCTACCTCATTTTACTAAGGGGTCCTTGATTCTGCAAGAATAGAGCAAAGATTCTACTGTCAAGGGTTTCCATTGCTACTGAACTCTGATTCAGTCCCAGATCAAGACTCTTGAGTGGAATAAATGCAGAAGCAACTCTGGGACAGAAAGAAAAAAAAGCATTCTGATAAAGAAAACTACATTTCTGATGAATTTTCGGGTACCTGATTTTGCAACATGACCATGCTCTGTAAGAACAGGGGTGCTATAGAAAGTCACTTTCTTACATTAAGTGACTGCTTGCTTAGTGAAGTGGGGGCGGGGAAACTCCATGCATATCAGGAAACGACTGCTCCCCTACCTGTGGCATCAGCAGGGTTCAGAGCAGTGCTAATGCATTACCTGTCTGCACAGCACTGCCTGCTGGAAAAACCCTGTACAGGCTGTTATCTCCTATATGACCAGCTACTACAAAGGAATAAGAGGCCTATCTCTGTCTCTTTTTCCTTGTCATCTGTTGATGACAACAGAAGACCATGGAGACTGAGACCTCCCAAGACCTTGCCAGGTTACACAGAGAAGAATCTGTGTGGTTTTGTATAATCATGGTCACAGAGCTGCTGCCTGTTTCTACCTCCTTCTGTTGCTGTGTACTCTACATACAGTCAACCCATCAGTTTTTACTCCCCATGTCCCAAAAATATATGTATAGCACCTATAGACTGCACTCTCTAATCAGTGAAATATGGTGACGAGATAGGAGAATAAAGTCCTCAGACTAAATATTTTTGAGATTTGTGAGGTTCAATTGTGGTGTACTTATTCCCTGAGCCATGTAAGGGAGGTGGAAGGTAGCATTCAGTTCCCTAGACTTTCTTATACTTGCCTAAATGTGGCAGGGGGAGGGCAGGAAGCAGGTGCACCCTATCTTCAAGAAATTAAAAGAAAAAAATCATTTCTGTTGCCATCCTGTTGTTATAACCATCACGTAGGGGCTTAGATTGGTATCTTATTTCTCTCATTATACATAAAACTTCCTATAAGTTTCCAGGTGTCTGATTCTCTTAAGAGTACACAAATGACCTTAGTGTTTTTTGCTGGTTCTTTCTAGAGGTGAGACAAAGCCATTTCCATTCATACTGATAGAGTACCTGTCCCATACTTTCAAAGCCGCAAAATCAGAGATTTTGCCAAATATGTCATCTTTCAACTTGTTCTTTTCAAACTGCTTTACTTCAAACATTAAAGTCTACATCCAGATCCCAGACAGTTTTTAAAATAGAGTATTCACCTGGGGAAGAATAACTCCATGCACCAGTATGGGCTTGGGGCTGACCTACTGGAAAGCAGCTCTGCAGAGAAGGACCTGGGGGTTCTGATGGACAACAGTCTGTCTATGAGTGTGTCCTTGTGGCCAAGGAGGCCAATGGGATCCTGGGATGCATTAGGAAAAGCATTGCCAGCAGGTCAAGGTGGCAATGGTCAGCCCTAGTGAGGTGCATCTGGAGTGCTGTGTCCAGTTCTGGGCTCTTCAGTACAAGGGGGACAATGGAGCTCCTGGAGTGGGTCCAGCAGAGGGTGAAAAAGATGATTAAGGACTGAGGGAGCTGAGCCTGTTCAGCCTAAAGAAGAGACAGCTCAGAGGCAACCCTCTCAATGTCTATAAGTATCTGAAGGGAGGATGTCAAGAGGATAGAGCCAGGCTCTTCCCAATGGTGGTGAGTAACAGAACAAGAGGCAACAGGCGGAAACTGATGCACAGGAAGTTCCACCTGAATATGCAAGGCACCATGCACTGGAACAGATTGACCAGAGAGGGTGTGGAGTCTCCCTCACTGGAAATGATTCAAGAACTGTCTGGATGCAATCCTGTACCATGTGCTCTAGGATGACCCTGCTTGAGCAGGGAGGTTGGACCAGGAGAGTCACTGTGGTCCCTTCCAACTTGGCCCATTCTGTGATTCTGTATCAGGCCAGTTTCCCAGCAGCTCTTAACAGTCACTTCTCTAAAAGCCAGTGTGACTGCTACCATTCATACTGGTGGAGAGTCTAGCCCACTTCAATACAATATTTCAAAACATACCTTTTAATTTCAGCTTGAGTTATTTCACTATAAAAGAATACATCATAAACAATAAACAAGCTGAAAGACCATCCTTACAGCCCTCCATTTGGTCCTGCCTATTGTCACAGTATTTGAAGCCTTCTCTTTTCTGCTTCCAGATATCTGTGTGAATGTTTGTGCTGCCATGAGGCCAAACTCTAGCTTGCCTTACATATCTGTGAAGATCACTTGCAGAGAAGACAGGATTTTGGCCAAAATTCAGCTTGAAACTTAACTTTCTTTTCATCCTTCTTGCAGACAAAATTCATTGCTTTCCATTTTTGACAACTTCTCCAAAGAGTGTGAAAACACCATGAGGAAACCAACTAACAAAATACTGTGAGTACCTCTCTGCATACAGATGCTGGAAGTAGCAAATACAGACTTCCCCCTGCTGCTGTTCATGAGTTTTTCTCAAACAGCATGTCTTTGGCTGCCAATTCAGTCACCCTTACAAGTTGCGCAGTGGTAATTTTACTATCATTAAACCAAGATTTGTGATTTGATGCTCAAAAGAAAAGGGGAAAAAAAAACCCTTCATGATGTCATGAGCTTTACTCACTCCAGTTTCTCTTCTGAATTCTTGAAAGGCTTTCAAAACAGTTATTAAATACTTTAAAAAGTTAATGGCCTACATGGA